TTTGAATGTTTAACTCCTTGTCCTTCATACCTTACTTTAAATGGTGCCTGTTCAGAAAAGCCTTCTCTGACCACTTCATGTAAAACATTCACATAATCACTCTCACATCACTCTTTTTACAATTACAGCATGGTATTTATCACCATTGATGTGATCTTAGCTGTGGGTTTTTCTTTTATGGTCTTTTCATGTTGAGGAAGTTATCTTTTATTCCTAATTTATTGAAAGTGTTTTTACAGCAAATGGGTGTTGGATTTTGTCAGATGCTTCCTCTGCGTCAGTTGAGATGATCACATGGGTTTTCTTCTTCCTTCTGTTAATGTGGTATATTATATTGTTGGATTTTCTCTTGTTGAACCACCCTTCCATACCTGGGATGAATCCCACTTGATCCCAGTATATAATCCTTTAATATGCTGCTGAATTTGATTTTGCTGAGGATTTTTGCATCTATATTCATAAGGGATATTGGCTTGTAGTTTTCTTGTGCTGTCTTTGGCTTCATTATCTGGGTAGTGCTGGCCTCACTGAATGCATTAGAAAGTGTTCCCTCCTCTTGTCAGAGTTGGGTGTGAAGGCGGTATCTCTTTGTGGTTATTCTTAACACCCTTCTCAGATGTCTCCAATCCAGTTCATGTATGTTACAGATACTATCAATGTGAGGTTCTAGTTCTTACCTAATTTAAAAAAACAAACAAACAAAAAAAAACCTTTAAAACATTTTTATTATGATAAAATATATGTAACAAAAGATTTGCCATTTTAACCATTTTCAGTGACATTAATTACATTCATCATGTTGTGCAACCATCACCACTATCCATTTCCATGTTTTTCATCACCCTTACAGAAACTTAGTACCCCTTAAGCAATAACTCCCTGTTTCCTCCTCTGCCCAGCCCCTAGTAGCCATTAATAAACTTTTGTCTCTATGTGTTTGCCTATTCTGGATATTTCATATAAGTGGGATCATACTATTTGTCTTTTTGTGTCTAATTTATTTCACTCAGCATAATGTTTTCAAGGTTTATCCATGTTGTAGCATGTATTAGAACTTCATTTCTCTTTATGGCTGAATAATATTCCACTGTATGCATAGACTATATTTTGTTTCTCCATTCGTCTGTTGATGGGCACTGGGGTTGTTTCTATCTTTTGGCTATTGTGAGTAGTGCTGCAATGAACATTAGTACGCACGTATCTCTTTCAGCAATGAATGAAGGTTCCATTGGTTTTGATTTGCATTGCCTTATATTTTTAAAAGAAAGAAAAAATTTTAAACTGCTAAGTTCCAACTTCTCAACACGGGAATCAAACATAATGTTACTTAGGTGTGTGACATCACAAATTCCTGTATTAAGTAACCAAACTGTGACCTACTTTAGAGATAGTGGTGGTTCCAAAAAGCAATAACTCTAATTAATTGAAATATATACCATTAGGTAATGTTTTTACTTACATGCTGTTTTTCAGTTAATAGGCCTGATCATTTATCTAATATCAGTCAGAGAATAGTAATTTATTTAAAATTTAGTATATGTATTTTCATGTTTGCTATATAGGACTGATAATAATTTGTTTTGTTAACTATGCAAATTTTCTAATGATTGCTATGATTCAGTAGTCTCATTTATTAAAATTAAGACACCCATAAATTTTTCCTGACAAATTCCTAAAAGTTGTCATCTATAGTCATGTGCACTTAGATAGTACTTTGTGTTTCATAACACCGTCATATAATCCGTAATACACATTGCCGTCGAGTTGATTCTGACTCATAGCGACCCTAAAGGACAGACTAGAACTGCTCCATAGGGTTTCCGAGGAGCAGCTGGTGGATTCGAACTGCTGACCTTTTGGTTAGCAGCCTGAGCTCTTAACCAGTGTGCCACCAGAGCTCCATAATCTGTAATATTCTTGCAATACTTATGTAATAGTTGCATAGATAACTAATAGATAATTAATATCATCTCTAATTTTTTTCAAAATTTTCATTTAAATATTTTATACCCTGGTTAAATTCAATAAGTCATCTAAATGATTGCATTTATAACTTCCTCCCGGACTCCAGTCATGGTTTTAGATTTTATTTAATTTACTACTTCAGGAGATAATGATTAAAGCAAGCAAATTTTAGCCAAAGGTTATATTATTCAAAAGTGCTTTTTCATAACAGTTTAGTTTTTATAACTTTAAACTTTATGATTCTCCTATTGTGTACTGATCCCTTAACTTTTAGCACTGAAAAATAGAAATTAAATTCCACATTAGCAAATTTCTTTGGTAATAGTTTGTGTTCTATGGGGTGATTTATAGAGTCATGTACCGTTCTAGTGCTTCATAGGAAGAGTTGACAACCTCTGTTTACATGGCTTGAATGATGCTGTGGTCACTGTGGGTTGTCTCGGTGTCCAACAGCCATAACCAGGTTGATAGATATTCCTTCTTAGCAGTGGCCCCTAAACTTTTCGTGAAGACCCCTACTTGAGGTAAAAATTTCGCAAGCCCCCCCACAATAGTAGTTTTAGTATTTATCATTAAGAAAATAGAAATGTTGTAAGAGTTACTATTAATTCAGTGGTACTTTTATATAGATTTATATTTTAGTAATCCTAATAGTATCTATAGATTTTTTTAAAGTAGTATCACATATGTATGAGACATCACCTTGGTTGCAAACAGTCCTTGACAGTCACTTGGACTAGCTGCCTTCTAGACATCATTCAGCATTCCCAGATTAGAAGGCACTGCTCTGCTACAATTCTTAGCCCCCTAGGATTACTCCAAATGCTGGGAGAGGGAACAGGATGAACCCAGAGAATCTGTTGGGAGCTAAGATCATGCCATGTGGCCCATGGCAAGCCTGTAAGCCTTGAAAACCCAGAGAACTACCAGGGAAAGGGTCTGAATGGATTCCTTTTGCACATCTTTTGCCTCCCTCTTTATGAAGGATACTATGATTTCACTCAGTGAGTCCCAGGAGACCCGCCATAGGAGAGCCTTGACTTATGGCCTACTTGGTTCCTGGAAGAGAGTTGAAATTTGAGCCTTTTCTCCCTAACTGGTATATTATTGTAAACTAGAGTTCCATTCCTGGAAACAAATTCTGTACCATAAAAATACCAAAATATATTATTAAAATATATGTTGATATATATTATTTTCATTTAAATTTTAAAAACATATATTGTTATTAGGTGCCTTCAAGTCTATTCTGAGTCATGGCAACCCCACCTGTTACACTGTGATCCTAATGGAAGGAGGTCATGAGGGCTTTTCTTCTGTAGGTCTGCTGAGTGGGGTCGAACGGCCAACCTTTAGGTTAGCAGTTGAGAGCAAACCATTTGTGCCACTTAGGGACCTACAAATATACATTGAAGTTACACATACTAACATTATATAAAAGTAAATTATAAAAAACAGCATGTGTGGTGGTCTAAGGGCACAGATTCTGGAGCCAGATTGTTTAGGTTCAAATCTCAACTCTGCTAAGTCCTAGTGGTTGATCTTGGGCAACTTATCTATAAAAGGATGGTAATAGTATCCACTTTTTAGAGCTTCTCTGGGGATTAAATGAATTAATATAAAGGAAGTACTTAGAACTGGTAATGCATGGCAATGGTAAATTACTATCTAAGTGTCGGCTGTTATTTTTTATGTTGCAGTGGTCATATTAGGGAAACTTTTCTGAATGGTCTTTTTAAAATACCAGTTCAATCAAGTTGGCTCTCAAGGCTTCTTCTTTTCCTGAGAAGCTTTCCTGAGGCCAGAAATAAGCATTCTTCATCAAACCCTTGAAGGCTGTTCACAATCTGGCTTCAGCCCTGCCTTTTCCACACTATCTCTATGTAAATCCTCGACTCAAGCTGTACCTTCTCTCATCATACCTTAAGTATGCTTTTCACATCACCATTCTGATCGTATTATTTACCTCATTTGAAATGGCCACTTATCTTTGTTAGTCATATGTACCCACTGCTCATAGTTCAGCTCAACACCTGCCTCTTTTGCAAAAGTTTATCATTATTGTCTGACTTCTTATTTTGAGTATATTATATGCTGTATTAAAAAAAAAAATCCTAAGGTTTTTGACACTAGGAACTGTGTGCAGTACAACTCTGTCCCTCATCACCTAATGCAGTGTAGTAGGCACTTTAGACATTTGTTAGTTAATTGACAGAGATAAGTGAAAGCAACTTTTCCAGGATCACACAACAAATTGAATTGTGTGTGCTCAGCTTGTGTACCAGGTAACAATTTTGCAAGTTAACTGCTTAAAACAATGAGAGCACTTGTGAGAAAATTTTAAATTACTACAACTAATGAAGAAAACATCTACAGGTTAGATTCTTTGGAACTGCTAAGTAACAAATAGCATACTTGATATATTGTAAAATAGGTCTGCCTCTCCTGCTGGATAATTAATAACATTTTCTCCATCTAAAAGTACTACTACTGTACTGCAAAGGCAGACGGGACCCCATGGCTCTCAGTGTCCACATCACAGAGTTAGGGCTGTGAGTGTAAGGAGCTAAAGAAGGCAGGACGGGAGAAACAGTAATTTGGTCTGCATCTCTTTCTAATATTTAACAATAGTAATAAAACATCTTAGCCGAAAATATGTGACATAATAAGACATTTTAACATTTTGGCTATTGGTGATGTTTTATGTATTCTATATAAAAAATATAGTTGTCTGTAAGATTTTGAATGTATCCCTAGATATGTCCCTAAAAAAGTTTAACAATTTTATGCCATAATTTTAACCAGCTTTGTCTTAGTTGGAATTTGAAGTTATCATCTCCTCACTTCTCTGTACTTTGTGAATCAAGAGTTTATTTTGATTGTCTCATCTTCATTCTCTTTTCACTCTTTGTTAACGAATATACTTGAGTATGGAATTTGTGATTCATTATTTTAGGTGTAAAAGGTAAATTCTTATTAAGAGTACGTTAAAGTGATCACCCTTCTTTCCCTTTATTTTTTTTTTTTAATACCAGATACTCTAGATGAATATTTTGAATATGATGCAGAGGAGTTCTTGGTGTCTTTGGCCTTGCTAATCACAGAAGGACGAACGCCTGAATGTTCTGTAAAAGGTCGTGCGGAAAGTTTTCATTGCCCTCCAGCACAGTTCTGTTACCCAGTAACAACCAGACATGAGTGCAGTGACAAGCTGGCCCAGGTGAGCATCATGTGTCTAATGCTTTTTATTTCTTTTATATAAACTAGTTTAACTTCTGTCATCACTTTCATTACATCATTCTTTACATCATAATTAAAATTTCAAAAAAATATAAAATTCATCATAACCATAAAGAAAAAGCAGAAATAATAGTAATAATTCCTGGACCATAGCTAATAGCCTCGGCTCTTAAACAAGGCTCTTAAAGGCATGACAGGTAGCTTTGCTGATCAGTAGGCAGGTGGGCAGCCAATTTCATACCTAGCTTCTCTTCATACTCTAGATTTAAGACTGCCATTGCTGCTGTGGTTTAGCTTTATTTACTTTTAAAGCCTCAGCCCTGGCTTATCTACTTTGTGTTCTCGTTCTATCTTGCAATTGGAAGAACCTTCCAGCAGTTATCTGCCCTCAGGGATAAACCTGAATCTCAATCTTTTCTCTAGTAACCCATACATCAGAATGTGAATTTAAGTTGATTTTGCTTTTAGGAAGTTAGTTTATTTAATAGATTGACGTTGATTATTTTCATCACATTAACCAATTTCGCTCTCATATTCCTTTTCTTTTAAATGAGGGGATCCTTTTTGCTATCATATTACTATTTTTGTATAATACTGTTAAAACTAATTTTTTTTTGTAAAACCAAAAATCCAAACCCATTGCCGTCAAGTCTTCCGACTCATAGCAACCATGTGGGACAGAGTAGAACTGCCCCACAGGGTTTCCAAGGAGCGGCTGGTGGATTCCAACTGCTAACCTTTTGGTTAGCAGCCAAGCTCTTAACCACTGTACCACCAGGGCTCCAATTTTTTTGGTAGGTAATGTATAATTTGCTTTAAAGATTTTTCTCAGTTATCAGTTTCTCAAATGTAATCCTTTTTTTTCCAAATATAATTTTATTTATTTTGCTGTTGTTGAGAATATGTACAGCAAAACGTGCACCAATTCAATAGTTTCTGCATGTACTTTTTTCCAGTTGTGTAACCATTCTCACCCTCCTTTTCTGAGTTGTTCCTCCCCCATTAGCATAAACTTTACATTAACACAAGTATAACATTACCCCCTAAGATTCCTATCTAATCTTTCGAGTTGCTGTTGTCAATCAGATCCCATGTAGATAGTTCTTAAAAGAACGTTATGCTCAAGGCAGACCTTTTTTTACTAGTTCAGCTAAACTATTGTTTCATTTCAGGAAGGTTTCAGGGGATATTTTTGGTTTAGAGTTTAAAAATTATCTCAGAGCAATAGTTTCAGGGGTTCAGCCACCCTCCATGGCTCCAGGAAGTCTGGAGTCTATGAGATTTTGAAATTCTGTTCTGCATTTCCTCCCTTTGATCAGGATTCTTCTACGGAATCTTTGTTCAAAACGTTCAGTAATGGTAGCTGGGCACCATCCAGTTCTGCTGTTCTGGTGGCAAAGGAGGCATGTGTTCATGGAGCCAATTAGCCACACATTCCATATCCTCCTCCTCTTCCTGACTCTCCTTCTTCCTCTGTTGTTCCAGGGGAATAGAGACCAATCATTGTGCCTTGGATGGCCTTTTGCATTGAACTATGCATTGAACTAGGAGGTGGAACAGAATCACTAAACATGTTATTAGGCCAATTAACTAGGATGTCCCATGAAGCCATGACCCTCAACCTCCAAACCAAGAAACCAAATCCCATGAGGTGTTTGGTTGTACATAATCAGCCTCAGCAGCTACTCTTTTTTTGGTCATTGTTGTAAATATATCTGGCACACAACTTTTGCCAATTCAGTTTTTTACAGGTGTGCAGCTTATTGCCAGCAATTACAATAATTGGCTGTGCAACCTTACCCTTAATCATTGCAATATTTTCATCACCATTAAATATAATTCTTTTAAATGTACATTTTTTCTTAAATGTAAACTTTTAAAATCTTGTCTATTTTGAGTGCTTAATGAGAATGAGTTTTTAATATTTTAGTCTTCAGACTTAGAATCATTCTTTTCTCTATAATATGATTAATTAACAAACGAGGCAAGACTGAGCCACCTCCAAGGCCTGTCAGACACTGTGTGTGGCAGCTCTTTTTTCATGAGATAGAGCAAAGATACCCTCCTCAGGAAAATTTGCATCATAACTGCTGTTGAATACTAATCTCTGCACTTTAGAGCTGACAAGTATTAATTTACTATTTGGTGAGGGCACCTAAATAGCCAAGCCTGAGCAAAGCTCTGCAATAGATGAGTCATTTCTCATACAGATGCCTGCTTTACAATTAAATTTTCAAATTTAAATATAAAATTGAATGGGTTGTTGCAACATCTTGCTTATACTCCTTTTCTCTAAGTGTCGCCAAGCCAGACGAACCAGGTCTGAGGTCACGTTGTTGTGGAAGAATAATCTTCCAATCATGGTGGAAGTGATGCTACTACCAGACTGCTGCTACAGTGATGATGGGCCCACCACAGAAGGAATAGATCTAAATGATCCTGCAATTAAGCAAGATGCATTGTTATTGGAAAGATGGATCTTGGAGCCGGTTCCCCGGCAGTAAGTTGTAGAAGTTAATTTGAGGTTGTTCTTGGTAAATCCGGTTTTCCATTACTTTCTATACATTATTTTAATAATGATCATGGGTTTGAATCCCTCTATATTTATGTAGTAAAACAACCTTTTCTTTTAGATATTTAGTGCTTATGTGACTTCAAGTGACATTGGTTGGTATACTCCTATGGTCTTGAAAGTACAGGTCCCAAGTTATATGTTTACTTTAGCTTCTACATATCTAAAATTCAGTCATTTTGTACTTGCTGACATTTATATTATGTTATTTCCCTTAGGAATGGTGATAGGTTTATTGAAGAGAAGACTCTTCTATTGGCTGTCCGCTCATTTGTGTTTTTTTCTCAGTTAAGTGCTTGGCTGAGTGTTTCTCATGGTGCTATTCCACGAAATATTCTTTACAGGTATGTGTAGGACAAAAAAAAGGACAGTGTATATTCAGCCACATTGGCTAACTACTGATTGATATTTTACCTTTTAAGTGATTTTTTTCCTTCATTCCTAAATGTAAGTCGATAAAACTTAGTATGTTTTTTCTCAAAACAGGTTCAAGAAATTTAAATGAGAATCATTATGAATTTTACTTGTTGAATTAAATTTGAATAGAATTATTTCAGAAAACTTTAGAGAACCGAGAATGGATTTGGTACTATCATTATAAAGTGGAAAAACTTTCTGGGCTACTTAATTTCCATAATGATAGGCTTGCTCCATTTTTGGCATCTTGAAAAGTATAAATATGCAGGCTGCTGAACAACTGTCTAATTGTTGTTTTAGGCAGGTGACCAGGAGCTGGAGAGTATCTCTTAGTCTCTTTGCACAATAGAATTAGCTGAATCCATTTAAGAGTAAATACCAAGTCATGTATTTTTTCATGTTTTGACAAATAATTTTAAATTATATTCCTAAGCTTTAATGCTTAAATGTTCTGGTGTTCTTAAAAAGATCATTTCTATTCCAAGCACTATCTATTATACCACTTATTTTTGTTTTATTAGACTGACATGCATGGTAATGTGGCTTAGTAAAGCCTCAGTGATAACTAATGCAAACAAATACAAGTAAGTATATGCCTGCTTTGAAATTTTTATAATATACAATAATAAGGATATAACTTTAATAATCCATTGATTCAGTGTTTTTGTCTGATTCCAGAATCAGTGCTGCTGATGTAGACTTACAGTGGAATTTTTCCCAGACTCCAATTGAACATGTGTTTCCTGTTCCCAATGTTTCTCACAATGTGGCCTTGAAAGTCAGCGTTCACTCCTTGCCCAGACAATCTAATTACCCAGTTTTGACCTGTAGTATTCACACTAATATTGGCCTTTATGAGAAAAGAATTCAAGAACATGAACTTAAAACCTATCAACACCGCAATTCTAATGAAGTAGAACAATGTACAAACAGTTCACAGCATCTGTGTAGCAAACAAACTTGGACCATGGCACCCGAAAGCATGTTACATGCAAAAAATGACACAACTCCAGAATATACTACAGCTGTCAAAAATGTCAAACTATATCCAGGCACTGGCAGTAAATCTGACTACGGAGCATCGCAAGCTAATATTCTGGGCTTCAGTGGTATGGAAGATGTAAAGTCACAAACGTCAGTGAGAACTTTAAAATCATTTTCATTAATTGATCCCAGTGTCCCAAGCCACCAGAGTTCCTGGCAGTCAGTTGGTGAGACTAATCCCTTAATAGGCTCTTTAATTCGGGAACGACAAGATGTTATTGCAAGAATTGCTCAGCATTTGATTCATTGTGATCCAAGTGCTTCACATGTTTCTGGACATCCACTTAATACCCAAGAGTCTAGTTCACTTAATTTAAAACTTTTCCAGGTTTCACAAGAAAATGAAAATGTGAGGAAGTATAAGGAAACTTTCTCCATTTCTTTTGGTTGTCCTGAGTTTACCTCCCCAGAAGACACCAGTGAGGGGAAAATTCGAGTAAAACCAGAAACTCCTCAAAGTGAATCTTGCATTTCTAATAGGCATTCTTCTCGTCAGTCCATTGGTGACACTAATCCTTTGATAGGCTGCTTACTCCAGCAGCGGCAGGATGTCATTGCAAGGATTGCTCAACACTTAGAACACATTGACCCAAGGGCATCACATATCCCCCGGCAGTCATTCAGCATGTGTGACTCCAGATTGGTTCCTTCTAAAACTTGTAGGAGTTCATATGAAGACAAAAATTTGTTGAAGAAAAACAAGGATGACATCTCAGTTTCCATTTCTAACCCAAAATTTTCATTGTTAGAAGACAGCAATGAAAGAAAAAACCTAATACCTGATAAATCTTTTAGTTCTTTTAAATGCAGTGGTAAATTGAAGTCCTCTTTGAAACCTCAAATAAGAGGAAATCAGCACCAGGAAAATCCTAGTGAAATCATCCAAACTACATTTCAGGAGACACAGAATAAAGCTACTAATTTATTAACTTCCTCAAATGTGTCTCCTTGCAAAGAAAATAACTTAGATTTGTCAAGTAGGTTGGAAAATACACTTTCTGGGTATCAATTTAAGGAGCAAGAAACGAGCAGTGAAATTGATAAACAGTATTCAAATTGCAACAGTACTGACAAACAGCTTTGCATGAATAAATATAAGGAAAAAATGACAATAAATGAAAATTGTCATCCAGAATCTTTTAACAGTCACCAAATTGACTCTAAAGTAAAAGTTACTATCCTGGAAATGTCAGAATATCTGCACAAACATAACAATAAATGCTCAAATGGTGACTCAAAAAGGCCTAAGACGTGTGAGAAAGATACTCAACTTAATAGTACAGAAAATTATTGCAATAAAGATAATGAAGGTTTCAAATGCAAAAAGCCAGACCAGTTAAAAAATGAACAAGATAAGAATGAAGACTCAACTGATGAAAAATCTCGAAACTTTTCTGAGAGAAAGGGTATAAGAGACTGTTTGTCTACATGTGAACGACTGAAAAGTATAGAGGCACTGGTGGGTAACAGTATTTCAAATATAATTCCCAGTCGTTCGTTATGGTTTGAATTTTGTTCATAAGAGATCTAGTTATGAAAGCCCAAGGTGCCCATTATCAATAGAACACATAGTCTGATCTAATATACCTACAGAACTATTATTAACATCCTCGAAAAATAACCCATTCACTAAGAGCAAATGCTAGGTAAGTAGAAGAAATAAAGATCACACAGGTAAAAAAAAAGGTGGGGGGAAGTGATATCTTTTTTTTTTTTGACTGCTAATATGGCAGTGATGTTTTTCTGGTTTTTTTTTTTAACCATTAGATCTATTATTTGGATCTTTTAAGTCCATTCTTTTTTTTTCACCATATTCTGTTCAGATAAACTAAAACCAAACTTGTTGCCATTGAGTGGGTTGCAACTCATAGCGACACTGTAGGACAGAGTAGAGCTGCCCCATAGGGTTTCCAAGGAGCAGCTGGTAGATTCGAAGTGCCGATCTTTTTGATTACCAGCTGAGCTCTTAGCCACGTAGGTTTTTAATGTTTGGTCTGTAGATTCAGGAGAATGAATGTTATGTTTGTTGTTGTTAGTTACCATCGAGTAGATTCCAACTCAGGGAGACCCCATGTAGTACAAGTAAAATAATGTATTTTATATTATATATTCTTAGTATATTACTCTCAGTTATATCACATTATAGAGCATTTGGTTCTTTTTGGTGCTTTCCAATAGGACATGTAGGATAGTTGTCATGAGGAAGGTGGGACTCAGGGAGATTAACTGACATACTAGTAGCTGTACAAGTCATTAGTGGCTGAACTGGCACACACATCCAGGTCTCTTAACTCCTAACCCAGGATTCTTTTCTACTACCTTATAATTATCAAGGACAAATTTGTAGACTATCACATCCCTTGGTCCATTTTAATTCTTCATGTTGCTCTTTGTTGTTTATTTTGAGTAAACAGGAGTCAGAAATGAAATTCTCAGTAGCTTAACATATTGTTTGTTAGTAGCTCTGGCCTAGTACAAGCAGTATGCCCATTGTATTGTGCCTTTGATCAACTAATGGTTTTAGGAGTATCTGTAGGGAAATCACTAGGCTATTTCTCAAAACACCTGGGTTCAGTCCTGATTTCATAGTTTGGTCTTTGAATGACATTGAATAAATCATTTAACTTCTAATAACCTCAGTCTCCTCAATTTTAAAATAAGAACATTAAAGCTCTTTTTGCCTATCTCACAGAATTGTGATGATCAAATAATAGATTTGAAAATATTTTGTACACCTTCAGTGTACTGTATAAACACAAAATATTTAAGTTACTTTTATTTTAGTTGACTTCCCACCAAGCCACTTTTTAACTTCCAAAAATGATTATTAGGCTCAAATTTCCATTATTTCCCCAAGCAGTATCCCAAATTTGTATCTGAATTTATGGTAAGCTACTTCTTACCCTTGATCAAATCTGAATGACCTTGGTTCATCTACTTTATTACTTAGATTAGTTTTGCTGTACATTAATGTTTTAAATTGTGCCATGATCCCAATTTATATATTTCAGTGATAATTTCCTAAAATTTTAATTGTCACAGAACCCTACCCTGGCTTTAAGAATATTTGTTTTCATGATCCTTTCTGGAACTCAATGGGGAGGCTTAATCTGGCCATGGTATGTTTCACGTCACTAAGAATCGCTTTGTCACGCATGTGTTTTCAATATGATACAGCATTTATGATGTGCCCAGGCATTCTTCTGAATATTTTACACAAGTTAGCTCACTTAATCCTCTCACTGCCCTATGAGTTTTATTAATCTCATGTTATGAATGAGAACCTGAGGCCTAAAGGGGTTAAGTAACTTGCCCGAGGTCACAAAGCTAGTAAAGCACTGTGGAGCTGGGACCCAATTTAGTCGTTTCTCACTTTTATACATGTGTTTTTATGAATTTCTGACCTTTGGGTATAAACTCACCCAGATTCTTAAAATTAGCCAATTTCTTATATCACTTCAAAAACATAGTACTGTGACTGCATTGTATATATTTTTAAATTCACAATGTTTATTTTTCTGTATCACACCCCCACCAAATTATATCCTCTGCAGATGGCTGTTTATATTGACATACTTCTGTATTTTAAAATAGCAAACTAAAACTTTTTCTGTACTTGTGAGTAGTTGTGTTTTCACAAATTAAAACAATCAAAATATTAATTTACAGGGCTGGATTAAGGCATGTGAGGTCCCTAAGCAGTGATAATCTGCGATACCTCTTCCTCTGCTTACTCACACATTCGTATGGGATATGTGAGTTAGGTATATATACGTGTGTGTGTCTTAGCTATCCATGATGTAACTTATTTTTAAATGCGACCATAACATTAGCAATTGAACGCAAAAGTAGCATATGCCATTTTAGTGGAATAAGGTGAACTGGATTATAAAATTTTTAGTGGGTATGAGATACTGAGATTTTTACTAAATACGAGATTTTCTACAAAGAGAATATTCCACATATTCTACAACAAAGAAGATGAGTCAGTGAACTTAGTTGTTTTAACAATCAACGTAAAATTCTGTTGATCTCCTTCAACGAAAACTTTATTTTCACCAATTTTGCTTTAAGTGGCTCATACTTCAATTCTGATGTTTGTCTAGTAATAAATGCTATAATTATAAATAAACAAATATCATAAAAGAAAATTTAATCATCAGAAAATAAATATTTACAATAAATTACTGTATTTTATTTTTAGATAGCTCTTTCATCTTTAACATGTTATAATTAAAAATACTTCTTTCAAGTCTTTGCTTTTATAAATTCTTCAATGATTTCATCATAATTAAGCTGCTGAACAATATCTACTTCCATACATAATAAGGATAATGAATCGAGTCTTGAATCATTGTTGTGCCCTCACTTTTCCTTGTGTCCTGTCTGCTTGGCACCTATAGGTCTTTGCTTTGGACATCTGGTACCCCTTTTTTGTTGATGTCCTAAGTACATGCTTATTGGGTAATCTGTCCCTGATTAGCTTACTAGATGCTAGATTCTATTTATAAATATGTTGCTAGGTCAGTTGTATTTTAGACACACTTTCTTTAGAACATTTGCATTTATTCAGCATATTACAAAATTCTCTTAGACATTGTTTTCTGAGTCCACTGCCATTGAGTGGATTGCGACTCATAGCAACCCTATAGGATAGAGTAGAACTGTCCAATAGGGTTTCCAAGGAGCAGCTGGTGGGTTCAAACTGCCAGCCTTTTGGTTAGCAGCCAAATGCTTAACCAGTGTGCCACCAAGGCTCCTGAACAGAATCATACATATACGCGCACACACACATAATTTGTCAGTCTGTCTCAGCCATCAGCTTCATCAACCAAGGATGTTTAAGAATGAGTCTAAAATCCTAAAGGTATTTAAACATTAAATTAAATATTGAAATTAAAATCTATTTCTTTTCTTAGCAGAGGAGTATACCACTGAAACATTCAAACGTCTGGCAAAAACATAATTTTCGTTCCTTGGATGGAACTTCAACCAGGGCCTTCCATCCTCAAACTGGATTGCCTCTTCTTTCAAGTCCTGTAAGTACTCTTATCTGTTATCTCATGTTTCAAACTTGAAGAAACTTATTTGAAGTGTTAATTTAATTCATATTTTAGATGAAAAAAATCTTAAAATACCTTCAAAATAAATTTCTAGCTGGAAAATATTTTTGATAGCACATTTCACATCTAAGTGATAAAATTGGGAAAAAAATGAATAAAGAGGAAATTTATTGTATCAGGATTACATAATTTCTCCAAAATACTTTCTTTTGCCTAACATTTTAAATGCTGTTCAGTGTAAAGAAAATACTTGGTGTCAAGTGGATTTTATATAAATAGATTTGTATCTTAATACTGAAGCTGGTTGACACCTTCAGCTGAATCATCTGGGAATCAAATTCATGGCTGTATGACTTGAAGCCCGAGTACTTAATCATCTTACTCAAAGGCGTATAAATCTCCCACACACTACATTTACAGATAGATAGATCTGAGTGTGATGGCTAAGAGCATGGCTTTGGAGTCACACTGGCTTCATTCTAGCTGTGTGACATTAGGTAAGTAACACAACCTCTTTGAGCCTGTTTTCTCTTCTGTAAAATGGGGATGATAATGCATACCTTGGTGTTGTGAGAATCTTTCCAACTTGCATGTTGCATATGATTTTACCTTTAATTTACTCTTGAGTCTTTTTATTTTTAGGATATTTTGAGTTAGGTGGTGGTTTGTTTTCTTTAGTGTAGTGTGGTATACAATGGTGGTTGACAGTGCAGAGCAGTAGTTTCCAAACCTATTTCTGTGAATCCTCAAGGTTTTGGGGAACGCTTCAGTGGGTTGGAGGTGGGCATCTCTATTTAATTCTTTTTTCTTCTTTATTTCAAAATTATAAATGTTTTTGCCAGAAAAATACAGCTTAAGTATATAAAGAAAAAAGTAAAGATCTCACCTATATTATATACTGGAATTCCATTTAAGCTTTGGTTTGGGAAAAAATGGTTGTGCTTCTTAAAAAATCAGCCCTAACACTTGAGGTATAAATTATTGAATGGGAAACTGATTTGCTCTGTAAACTTTCACCTAAAGCACAATAAAAAAACAAAAAATCAAACCCTACTAAGGGAGATTTTATTAATTAAAATTTTTTCACATTAGTCAATAAAATTAGAAAATAAGAACATTATGTAATAAAGAACATGGTTTTAAGTAAATTGTTAAGAGAGAAGTTTTATTATTTTTAAGACATGCTTGACTTTCATTTGAAACGTATTTTGTCAATTCAAAAATTTAGTCTTTTACAACCTACAGACTGGAAAAAAATTTTTGACTATGACAGATCCAATCAGTGTCTAACCTCTGATATCTACAAGATACTGCAAAACCTCAACAACAAAAAGACAAATAACCCAATTAAAAAATGGGCAAAGGATACAAACAGGCACTTCACCAAAGAAGATGTTCAGGCGGTTAACAGACACATGAAGAAATTGCCAACGATCATTAGCCATTAGAGAAATGCAGATCAAAACTACAGTGAGATATCATCTCCTCCCAACAAGGCTAGCATTAATCCAAAAAACACAAAATAAGAAATGCTGGAGAGGTTGTGGAGAGACTGGAAAACTTCTACACTGTTGGTCGGAATGTAAAATGGTACAACCACTTTGGAAGTCAATTTGATGCTTCCTTAAAAAGCTAGAAATAGAAGTACCATATGATCCAGCTATCATGCTCCTTGGAATATATCCTAGAGAAGTAAGAGCCATCACACGAATAGATATATGCACACCCATGTTCATTGCAGCACTGTTCACAATAGCAAAACGATGGAAACAACCTAGGTGCCCATCAACGGATGAATGGATAAACAAATTATGGTATATCCGCACAATGGAATACTATGCAACGGTAAAGAACAGCGATGAAGGCATGAAACATAACATGGAGGAATCTGGAGGGCATTATGCTGAGTCAATTTGGTCAGTCACAGAAGGACAAATACTGTATAAGACCACTATTATAAGAACTCAAGAAAAGGTTTAAACACAGAAGAAAACATTCTTTGATGGTTACGAGGGTGGGGAGGGAGGGGGAGCGTTAT